TACTTCACGCTACATATCATCAGACCACTCTAAATACACCCTCCTTAAATACGATACAACCTTTAACTTCTGGCCTCAATATATATTAAACTCCTATAAATGCTTTTATTATAAAAGTCAGGTCCTACAAATTCCATTGTTATATTAAATTCTTAATTTTAAAAATGATAAAGTTGCCGAACGAATGCCTTTTCAAAATATTTGAAAACCTCCAAAGAGATTATAAAAGCTTATTTTCATGTCTTCTTGTAAATCGTCATTGGTGTAGAATTATTGTGCCAATTTTATGGAGCGAACCAACACGTCATATAAGGGATAAAAGACTTATAGGAATATATCTTTTAGCATTAAATAATGAAGAACGAGCTCTAATAATTCGTTTTATTCTTCTAAAAAAAAATTCAACATTATTCGAGTACACGAGTTATACCACAAACGTAGGCTTTGAGTTGACTGACGGAATCAGAGATTGGCTTAATTCAATGTTTATAAACACAAAAGGAAAAGGTGGAGACAAACTTGTAGATGCCATTAAATGTTCTTTGATTGCAATGTTTCTACGAACAAGTAAAAAACTTAAATATCTAGCACTAGAAGGAAATATTATAAAACAATTAATGAAGGTCATTAGCAAAAGCACAACATTAACTAATTTAATTCTCTTTGAAAATCTTGGTTTTAAGGGTGTGAAAGTATTAGCAGATGCCCTTTGTAAAAACTCTACTCTGACTTCTTTATGTATCTATAGCGTTAGCCTTGATTTTAAAGATGCAAAAAAATTGGCAGAAGCACTTTGCAAAAACGATAAGTTGAATTGTTTAAACATTAGAGATAATAAAATTGGTTTTGAAGGAGGAAAAGCGTTCGCAAAAGTTCTTTGTAAAAACATCACTCTGACTTCTCTAAATCTCTCTCGTAATAACCTTGGTCCCGAGGGAGGAGAAATATTAGCAGAAGCACTCTGCATAAATACTACTTTGACTTCTTTAGAAATTTGTATTAATCGACTTGGTTCTAAAGGTGCAAAAGCACTGGCAGATGCTCTTAGTAAAAATGCTACTTTGATTTTTTTAGATATTAGCCATAATGGAATTGATTTTGAAGGAGGAGAAGCATTCGCAAAAGCCCTTTGCATAAACACTACCTTAACTTCTCTAAATATTTCTCAAAATGATCTTAATTGTGAAGGAGGAAAAGCAATAGCAGAGGCACTTTGCAAAAACTCTAGCTTAGCTTCCTTAAATATTTCTCATAATAATCTTAATTTTAAAGGGGGGAAAGCATTCGCAGAGACGCTTTGCGTAAACACTACTCTGACATCCCTAAATATTTCTTGCAATGATCTTAATATTGAAGTCAAAAAAGCTTTAGCGGAGGCTGTGTGTAAAAATATTACGTTAACCTCTTTAAATGCTTATGGCAATCAATTTATCTACGAAAATATAAAAGTTCTGAAAAAATTTTTCATACATCAAACGTACTTAAATTATTAATATATATATATGTATTTCAAGAGAATGTTATTATTGTATTAGCCTACCAATTTTGATAATAATGCTATTGGTTAAATAAGTGTGTGTTAAAAGATGTTATTAATATTTTGTTAAAAATGTTAAAAATAGCTATGAAACCATTTAATGAATGATTAAAAGTTTACGGCTAATATTGAAAATTCATACGGAAAGTAAAGTCAAATTATTGTAAACACGCGCATCACAAAGACCAAAAACTTATGAATACACCAGAAAAACCTATCCCATCGTGCAAATTTTGCAAAATTAAAGATCCATTAGTGCTGGTGTAAATATCGTGGCGATCAGTCAAAATCAAAACCAATACTAATACGTTTCATCGAAAAAAACATTAAATCAGTTTTCTAATGAATTTATCCATATTTGGGGGTTTATTTATTTATTTTTTTTGCGGTGTAACACATTATTATTGTTCGATCAGATACTTTATTGCTAAACGATGAAGAAACATATGGGAATAGGCTCGCTATCTTAGTAGATTAGTTGTAACTAATAGTCACATGTTTTCAATAAATTTGATTGGCATAATAAATAATCACGTGTTTTCTGTATCATTTCAAACCATTCTGATCGGCTAAAAAAATTCTACGTCTTAAATTTATTATGTAGTGTTGGTGGCAACGGGTCACAACGCAGACCAACCAATCACCACCAAAAACACACAACCAAAGCAACCAACCACTACATACACGATCGTAGAAGCGATTACAATTTGGCAAGGTAAGGCGTATCGAGTATATGGTGCGACTTTTATTGAGCAAACACTCCTCTCCTTTATTAGAGGGCGAACAAGCCCATATTTATAACAAAAATTACATGAGGGGGGGTGGACAAGATCGAACTTTTTCTAATCTAAACCCAAGCCCATCTCATGATGCCATCATCGCTTTGCCTTCTCCAGCTAAGCTTCTGGCACTGCCCCAAACACAAGGTCTTGTGACTTGGGGCTTTGTGGGAACTTTTCCTCACGATTTCTTCGCGATTCCGTAGGAGCTTCGAATCGGGGCTTCGTCACGTTTTCAGGTCGAACTCGGCGCAGCGAATTTTGGTGGTTTTGCCACCAACAGTAGATAATCAACCAACGATTAGTTGGTTAAAAAATTTCCAATCGATTAGTTAACTAGTTGGTTTTTTTAACTAATGATTTAGATCACTATTAGTAGGTCTAACTCTTATACGAGCGAAAATCAATAATATCAAACAAACCTATGTCATAAAACCCTCCAAATACAACCCGGATATAAATCAAAACTTCAGTGCTTTCCCAACCTCCCGTAAACCATAAGCTCGAAATATAGGCACTTCTATCCGAAAAGAGACATCATCTCGACAGACCCGATTTTAACAATTCCAACGTGAAGAGTTCAAAAAGGCCTTGATATAGCTAAAAAGAGACTCTTTTATGGTCCTTGCACTGTTACTGCAGCTGTGGAGCCTTATTTCTAGCACCAATACCTTGTTGGTCTACTGAGTGGTCATTTCACTATACATAGCCATTGAACCAGTTGACAATGGGTGAAGAGGGAACGAAAGAGTCAGCCTTAATCAAGACGAGCGATAGCGAAACGTCCTTTCTCCCGAAACAAACGTTCTGGATCTTCTATAGTATAGGTGGGCAATATAGAAATATTATAAGATTATAATATATAAAACTCTAACCTTAACTCTAACCTAACTTTAATTGAAACTATAACCCTCACCCTAACCCTAACTATAAATTTGCTTAAATTAATTCAAATAGTTATTTTTTATATAATATTATAATAATTCTATACTGTATTGCCCTATTAGATCAACCAAGTGAGATCTACGATATAGTCATCTGATCTCCAATAACGAACACTATCACTTCGTTGACGAGCTTATCAATAAACTTTTATATGGTGGTTATAAATTTTTAAATAAAAATAAGGTTTTCCTAAGGTATAAATTAAATCGAGTAAAATGAAACTATTTTCGATTCTACTATATTATATTATATTATAGTTTACAAGTTCAATTTCAACCAATAATAGATTACATTTTAATAATATATGTAGTTTATTTTTATGGACTTGGTGCTGAGAAAAGGAACCAAATTGACAAAAAAATTTCTTCCCAAAAAAATTAATCATCTCATAAACTATTAACTAAAATTACATTATTTTGATACATTCAATTCGTCTCGATGAGAGGATAGTACCAAATTATGTGATTCTGATTAGTTCACGAGATAGATACCCTAATGCATATCGACTACTCTCGTGCATGCATTTTGGGAGGGTTGCAATTAGAAAACACTAATAAGATCATAATGCAACTATTATCACGTGATAAATATGACTTTAGTATAGGTCCGTCCAGGTTTGGTCTTGTAAGACCGGTCCTAGCAGAGGGCCGCGGATTGGATCGTAGCCCAGGACCGGTCCATAAACCAGCCCATAAGCTGGCTGGTTTTCAAATTAAACTATGTGGTTTTAATGATCGCCGCGTATATCATCATAATAATAAATCCTGGACAATTGAAAAAATTGCCAACACCGAATCGACAAGTTATCTGTTACCGTTACTAAGTCAAAAATCAATAAGTTACTGAATTAGGCCGACATCGGAAACTTATAGATACGGTCATCGACAATTTTTTTCTTTTTTTTAGCCAATAAGATCAATAAGATCATTCTAAAATCTATGGACTGGTCCGAATCAGTCCTCAATTTAGAAGCGAAAATTCCAAAAAACCGGACCACAGTCCTTACAGGACTTTAACATCCCTGCTTTAGTAGTCCAGTAAAATTAATAGTAATCACGTGGATGCATTTATGGAGGGAGTTTTATAAATAGGCCAACAATTAACGTGCACTTACAGAAGCATTTAACTATAAGTCCCATTATGGAACTAGCTTTTCATTGTAAATTTAGAGAGGCAGGAGATTGAATTTAGGGTATCTGACTGAAGCCTCCTATAAATATTATCTAAATATTCTGAATATTTAAAAAACTATTATCTAGTAAGATTTGAATATCCAGATATTGTTTAGATATTTGAATAATTATCTTGATAGTTTAATCTCTATCTGTTCTAGTAAGTCAAATTAGAAAATATTTTTATAATCTTAAGCAAAATTTATACACGAGCTTACTAGCTAATATTAGACATCGTAAAATAATATTAATTCAAACAAGTCATTTTAATAATTATATAATAGTCAGTATTTAGTAAGTTATAGTGATTATATCTTATTTATTATTTCTAAGTTAACTACAAATTGATTTGACCAATTGACCAATAGACAAATTAATTTATAAACAGGTATACAATATTGTCTATTTAAATTTTTATTTAAATAGACATCGTCAATTAATTACTAAATTAGACAAATAAATATTAGATTAATAAATTATTAGACAATTGGAACAATAATATTTTCTATCTATTCACGTCTATGCATATAGTAAGGATTCAGTCACAACAACTGTGATCAATTGCAACTAGTTGCTGTTCTTATCTTTAGTCCCGTTTTTGGCACCGCAATCAGAATTTTCAGGCCATTCACATCTTAATAGTTTCGTACACCATTGTAAACCATCAGGGCAATTCATCAGATACGGAATACCGTTAGCGCATTGATAGAATGTAGAACAGTCTTTTGAATTAGCGTAAAGTCCATTAGGATTATTCTTATCATTTTCCTTTGGGCATGTAAATTCTTTACTAGGTGTGACCCCGCAATCCGAATTTTCAGGCCATTCA